TCCAGGTCTGACAGCCCAGCAGAAACGCTGCGGGGCTGACTAGTCCATGGAGCCTGTCCTGCCCCAGTGAGGAGCTGGTGTTTCCCCTGGGCCTCGTGGAGTCAGGGCCCTGATCTGTAGCGTGGGCTGGCGGTGGAGCTGCAGGCACTGTCAGGCAGAACCTTCCAGCAGGGCCTTCTGCAGCCCTGGAGCCCAGCGGCTGAGCGGCAGCCTGGCTGGGGCTGTCGGGGGCATACCCTTACCTTGCTGGTCCATGTAGATGGGGGAACCACCCAGGGACGCCACTGAGTCCACCAGGAGCAGGCAGTTGTACCTGGAGGAGGTGTGGGGCAGAGGGCAGCGGGATGGGGCCTGAGGCTCAAACCTTAGCCAGGATGGATGGGGCTTCTGGAGGGCCCCCCACACCCTTCAGAAGCCTGGCAAGGAAGTGGGCTTCTGCCTCCCTCATGTCGCCTCCTCCTGGACTCTGTCAGGATCCACCGGGACCTGCAGCTCTTCCTCTCCCCTGCCCCGCATGTCAGAACAAGAGGGAGCCGCAGGGCGTTGGCCACGGCCGCGGAGTCCCCACACGGGTGTGCGTGAAGGACTCTGAGCGTGGATGGTCCGTGGGCTGCGGGACCTGGTGGCACGAGGCCTGGGCCTCCCTCTGCCACAGTAGGCTGGATGGGCATCCAGAGCTCAGAGAGGACAGAGTCCAGAAACTGCCCGAGCGGCAGCTCCCTCCTCCACCTCCACGTTTCCTTGTAAGGAAAGGCGTAAAAAGTCCCCATGCCAGCCGCGGGTGGCGCAGTTTGGACCCTGCTGGGGTCAGCCTTGATGGCGTTTGTGAGCTGTATGCACGGGCCGGTCCCATGGGGCAGGCTGTCTCGGATGGGGCCTGCCACGGTGACCCTCCCTGGCTGTGGAGAGCTTCTTCCCTCTGTCCTGAGGTCAACCCTATAGACAGGACTGCTGGGTCACAGGGGGCCCTGTCCCTGTTTCCCTGAGGGATCCCGTCTGATTCCACTCGAGTGCCTGCCCTGTGCATCTCCTGCAGGGCTCAGGGAGGGCAGAAGACACTGTGGGGGCACCTGGTCACCTGATCCTGCTCCCAGCCCTGGGGTCATCTTCAGATGGAAGGAGCCCACCCAGACTCAGTGCAGAGCAAAGAGGACCCGAGACGTGCCCATGGGACAGAGGCCGGGAGTGGGCAGAAGGCAGCTCGGCCTCACCTGCTACCCCTCACACCAAAGGGACACCCCCCACCAGCCTGGCTCTGCACTGTGCTCGGCTCTGCCCCCAGCACTGCCGCCGCAGGGGGAGTCTCACCTGGGGGGACAGGCTCACCTGTGGCAGAGCTCCCCGTAGCCATCCAGGGGCTGCAGTACACCGCTGGACGACTCCCCGTGGGTCAAGAACAGCAGCACCGGCTTGTGCTGAGCCAGGCCCTGAGGAGCAGAGGGACAGCTGTGGGCAGAGCTGCTAGGGCAGGGGCCTCCCAGGGGCCAGATAGCCCTTCCAGAGGGTCTTCTGCTGCTGGGGGCAGGGCCAGGACCCCTCCCCCTGCACACCCCCCCTCCCCCAGGGACGGTGCAGATCTGGGCAGCAGGAGCCAGACTTGTCTGGACCCCTCTTGGGCACGGTGTGCTGAAGTGGCTGGGGGCAGCTCAGCTCTGGGTGGTGGGCTTTTTCCAAGAGGACGTTTTACTCATACCTCCTCCACCTCCTGCAGTGTGTAGTGGTATCCAGGGTCCTTGATCATCGGGTGCACGTGAGCTCCTGGGGCAGGAACAGAGTGAGCAGTGAGTGGCCAGTGTTGGGGACCAGAATCCATCCTGAGTAGATGGGCCCTGTGAGGGCAGGAGCGTGCCCACCCTGGCACCTCCCCGCTGGGCCAAAGAGGAAGGTGCCATGTGCTCCGGGAAAGCCGCTCTTCTGCAGAGCCAGTGTCATCCTGGCCTCGTGGATGTTGGAGCCGAGGCTTGGGGTGCCCAGTGAGAGTTGGCCTCAAGATCCACTCAAATGCCCGTCCTCAGGCCGCCTTCCCTGAGCCCAACCAGGCTGGGGCTGTGCCACTCCACTGCAGAGCTCATCATGTGAACTGTAAACATGTGACTGTACCTGGCCACGCTGCCCCACGCCTCCCCCAGCATCCTATGCACAGCTGATGGCCAGAGTCGTAGGAAAGGAGGAGACCCCAGGACCACCCAAGCCTTAGGAAAGAGCCTGAGCTGGGGGTGCAGGGTGGGGACTGGGGAGGGCACTGCCCAGGCCACACTCCTCGGGCATTGGACCCTGGGTGTCCTGACATTCGCTCGGCTTCTGCCCAGCCCTGGTTCCTCTTGAAAACAGGATGTGGGCTGAACGGGACCAGGTGAGGGGCCAGGACCCTCTTAGGCTGTCAGGGGTTGTCCATTAACCAGCATGGCTGTTGTGGAGCTGACCAAGCAGAATGTCTCCAAATGCCACGGTCAATCATTAAGCCCAGTGTGAGCTCCTGCTCTTGACTTTTGTCTCTCAGGAAATCTCATCTGGAGGTGAAAACTCCGTCCATACCTCCACACCGTGTGGATTACACCAAGGCTCCAGAAAGAAAACTGAGATTAGGGGAGAGGGTCGGCTTCTGAAACCCCGTCCTGCCATGGAGCAGAGCTGATGCCTGGGGACCCTGGAGAGCTGGGGGACCCTTAGGGTTTGTGCTCAGACCAGAGGCTTCCCTGCAGTGCTGTCGCCCCTACACACTCCAGAAACAGCTCTCCTAAAGGCTGGGGGACCAGGGGATCGGGGCATCTGCTGTGCTTCCAGCCCTGTCAGGGCACCCTGATGCCCACCTGGAGGAGGAAGCAGGCTGGTGGGGGGTGGGTGCGTGGAGGGCACAGGGGGGTAGGTGCTCACCAGGGAGGGGCAAGGCTGGTGCCTGGTGGCTGGCGGAGGAGGCCTTGGAAGGACGGAGCGATGAACTCACCCCACCCTGCGCCCTCCCTTACCAATGCGCTCCCCGATGTCCACAGCCCGCTGCCCCCAGATGCCATTGGCCCCGACCAGAAAGGAGTCCCCCGGCTCCAGGAGGTTGATCAGGGCAGCCTCCAGGGCGCAGTGTCCTGAGCCACTGATGGCCAGCGTGAGGGGGTTCTTGGTCTGGAACACATACTGGATGCCTTGCTTGATCTCGTCCATCACCTGAGGAGGACGGGCACCCCGCTCAGGAAGAGCAGCTCAGGGGACGAGCCACCCCCACCAGATGGCAGATGGGCAGCGCCAGCTCGGTCCTACCTGGAACATCTCCTTGTGCATGTGCCCAATTATCTGCAGCCCGCTTGCCGCCAGCACGCGCGGAGTCAGGTTGGAGGGGCCGGGCCCCAGCAGGAGCCGGTTGGGGACAGAGAGGGGCTTCAGCAGGGCCTCTGGGGGGGCCACCAGCAGCTGGTAAGAGGCCATGGTCCGCACTTTGCCTGCCACTCGGGGCCCCCAGACTGAACTGGCCGTGGCCAGAGTTCGGAGCATCTTCCAGCCAGCCTCACACTGGACACACAGGTGACAGCTGGTCGACGGGCTCCTGCTTTTGTCCTTATCGAGCCCTTTCAGGTCAGGGCCTGGTGGCTGGGGCGTTGACCCCTCGCAGGGGGAGGGGGACCTCAGAGTCCCGTCAAAGAAAAACAGAGCGGCAGAGCTGTCCTCCGCAGGCCAGTGCCTGCCCCGCTCCCTCCCAGCGTCCTAGGCCTGCTTAGCTCAGGGTCTGGACAGTTTTCCTTAAAGCGTCAGAGAGTAAGTAGTTCAGGCTCAGCAGGCTGTACAGTCTGTGTTGTGACCACTCAACCCTGCTGCTGTGATTTGAAAGCAGCTGCGGTGGGTGTGGCTATGTTCCAATAAAACTTTATTTACAAAGAAAAACTGGTAGCGGGCCAGATGAGGCCCAGGGACTGTAGTTTGTCAACCCCTGCTCAGCTGATGGAAAGGCTCAGTCCAGCAATATGCATGCGCATGGACACTCACACTCACACACTCTCACTGAAACACACACTCACTGACACGTACACTCACACGCTCACTCTCACACCCACATCACTGAAACACAGACTCACACACACACACTCACTGACACATACACACACTCACACACTCCACACTCACACACTCTCAAACACACTCTCCCAGACACTCTCACACACACACACACATGCTCACACTTGCTAACACACTCACACACACACACTCACACTGGCACACACACANCTCATACCTCCTCCACCTCCTGCAGTGTGTAGTGGTATCCAGGGTCCTTGATCATCGGGTGCACGTGAGCTCCTGGGGCAGGAACAGAGTGAGCAGTGAGTGGCCAGTGTTGGGGACCAGAATCCATCCTGAGTAGATGGGCCCTGTGAGGGCAGGAGCGTGCCCACCCTGGCACCTCCCCGCTGGGCCAAAGAGGAAGGTGCCATGTGCTCCGGGAAAGCCGCTCTTCTGCAGAGCCAGTGCCATCCTGGCCTCGTGGATGTTGGAGCCGAGGCTTGGGGTGCCCAGTGAGAGTTGGCCTCAAGATCCACTCAAATGCCCGTCCTCAGGCCGCCTTCCCTGAGCCCAACCAGGCTGGGGCTGTGCCACTCCACTGCAGAGCTCATCATGTGAACTGTAAACATGTGACTGTACCTGGCCACGCTGCCCCACGCCTCCCCCAGCATCCTATGCACAGCTGATGGCCAGAGTCGTAGGAAAGGAGGAGACCCCAGGACCACCCAAGCCTTAGGAAAGAGCCTGAGCTGGGGGTGCAGGGTGGGGACTGGGGAGGGCACTGCCCAGGCCACACTCCTCGGGCATTGGACCCTGGGTGTCCTGACATTCGCTCGGCTTCTGCCCAGCCCTGGTTCCTCTTGAAAACAGGATGTGGGCTGAACGGGACCAGGTGAGGGGCCAGGACCCTCTTAGGCTGTCAGGGGTTGTCCATTAACCAGCATGGCTGTTGTGGAGCTGACCAAGCAGAATGTCTCCAAATGCCACGGTCAATCATTAAGCCCAGTGTGAGCTCCTGCTCTTGACTTTTGTCTCTCAGGAAATCTCATCTGGAGGTGAAAACTCCGTCCATACCTCCACACCGTGTGGATTACACCAAGGCTCCAGAAAGAAAACTGAGATTAGGGGAGAGGGTCGGCTTCTGAAACCCCGTCCTGCCATGGAGCAGAGCTGATGCCTGGGGACCCTGGAGAGCTGGGGGACCCTTAGGGTTTGTGCTCAGACCAGAGGCTTCCCTGCAGTGCTGTCGCCCCTACACACTCCAGAAACAGCTCTCCTAAAGGCTGGGGGACCAGGGGATCGGGGCATCTGCTGTGCTTCCAGCCCTGTCAGGGCACCCTGATGCCCACCTGGAGGAGGAAGCAGGCTGGTGGGGGGTGGGTGCGTGGAGGGCACAGGGGGGTAGGTGCTCACCAGGGAGGGGCAAGGCTGGTGCCTGGTGGCTGGCGGAGGAGGCCTTGGAAGGACGGAGCGATGAACTCACCCCACCCTGCGCCCTCCCTTACCAATGCGCTCCCCGATGTCCACAGCCCGCTGCCCCCAGATGCCATTGGCCCCGACCAGAAAGGAGTCCCCCGGCTCCAGGAGGTTGATCAGGGCAGCCTCCAGGGCGCAGTGTCCTGAGCCACTGATGGCCAGCGTGAGGGGGTTCTTGGTCTGGAACACATACTGGATGCCTTGCTTGATCTCGTCCATCACCTGAGGAGGACGGGCACCCCGCTCAGGAAGAGCAGCTCAGGGGACGAGCCACCCCCACCAGATGGCAGATGGGCAGCGCCAGCTCGGTCCTACCTGGAACATCTCCTTGTGCATGTGCCCAATTATCTGCAGCCCGCTTGCCGCCAGCACGCGCGGAGTCAGGTTGGAGGGGCCGGGCCCCAGCAGGAGCCGGTTGGGGACAGAGAGGGGCTTCAGCAGGGCCTCTGGGGGGGCCACCAGCAGCTGGTAAGAGGCCATGGTCCGCACTTTGCCTGCCACTCGGGGCCCCCAGACTGAACTGGCCGTGGCCAGAGTTCGGAGCATCTTCCAGCCAGCCTCACACTGGACACACAGGTGACAGCTGGTCGACGGGCTCCTGCTTTTGTCCTTATCGAGCCCTTTCAGGTCAGGGCCTGGTGGCTGGGGCGTTGACCCCTCGCAGGGGGAGGGGGACCTCAGAGTCCCGTCAAAGAAAAACAGAGCGGCAGAGCTGTCCTCCGCAGGCCAGTGCCTGCCCCGCTCCCTCCCAGCGTCCTAGGCCTGCTTAGCTCACTGGGGCGTTGACCCCTCGCAGGGGGAGGGGGACCTCAGAGTCCCGTCAAAGAAAAACAGAGTGGCAGAGCTGTCCTCCGCCGGCCAGTGCCTGCCCCGCTCCCTCCCAGCGTCCTAGGCCTGCTTAGCTCGGGGTCTGGACAGTTTTCCTTAAAGCGTCAGAGAGTAAGTAGTTCAGGCTCAGCAGGCTGTACAGTCTGTGTTGTGACCACTCAACCCTGCTGCTGTGATTTGAAAGCAGCTGCGGTGGGTGTGGCTATGTTCCAATAAAACTTTATTTACAAAGAAAAACTGGTAGCGGGCCAGATGAGGCCCAGGGACTGTAGTTTGTCAACCCCTGCTCAGCTGATGGAAAGGCTCAGTCCAGCAATATGCATGCGCATGGACACTCACACTCACACACTCTCACTGAAACACACACTCACTGACACGTACACTCACACGCTCACTCTCACACCCACATCACTGAAACACAGACTCACACACACACACTCACTGACACATACACACACTCACACACTCCACACTCACACACTCTCAAACACACTCTCCCAGACACTCTCACACACACACACACATGCTCACACTTGCTAACACACTCACACACACACACTCACACTGGCACACACACACACACTGGCACAATCACACTCACACATGCTCACTCACCCACTGACGACGTGTTCATTCTTGACCTCTTTGGAAACATGTATTTCTTTGCCCTCTGTGCTGGAGGCCCTGGAGCTCGCAAGCACGGGTGAGCTCGCAAGCACGGGTGAGCTCGCAAGCACGGGTGAGCTCGCAACCACGGGTGAGCTCGCAAGCACGGGTGAGTTCGCAACCACGGGTGAGCTCGCAACCACGGGTGAGCTCGCTTGGAGCTTCCCCTGCTCACTAAGTCAACAGGTGGCTGCAATAAATGCCACTCAGGCTCCTGAAAGAAAAGGAGCCAGGCCCAGCCAACGGGTGGCCCACCCTGCAGAGTGTGGGAGTCTTCACAGTGACCAGGGAGGCAGCGACCTCCCCCCTAGGGCCAGGCATCCCATCTTTCCCCCATGGGGACTTACTCCCCGGCTCAGCAGAGTGTCATTGCTGGGGCTGGTGTTTGTCAGGCACCCCGCAAGCATTAGCCAGTCGGGGTGGACATGGCCTGAGCACCTGGGAGCCTTCAGCTCTGTGTGGGTGGTGGCACTCTGTCCATGTGGTGGGTGAAGAAACAGGCTGTGGCAGCCAAAGCACATGACCCATGTTTCCACGTCTGTCTTCTCCCCACATCCCAGCCTCCTGTCCTGTCCCAGCCCCACATCCCCCTGACCCCAGTTGTCCTTCCTCTGTGCGCCCCAGGCACTCTGTAGCCAGAACAGACCCCAAGGCTCCATTAGCACATGGTGGGTGGAGAGCAACTGAGGAGGGACCTGTGCTCGAGTCCTGGGCCCTGGGGAAAGTGACCAAGATATGGTCCCAGCTAGCCCATTGCAGGCACACCAAGGCTTCTCCAGCACAGGGAAGCCCAGAGGGAGCTGGCCCGCCCTCCCTTCATCCTTCCACCCTCCTCCGTCCCCTCCTCCTTGCCCGGCACTCCCTCTAAGCCAGAACCTAGTCTAGGCTCAGCCCGTGCCCTAACAGCAGCTGGTGGGTGGGGACAGCAGGTGGGGCATTGGTGGCCCAGGTCTGCAACCACCACTTGTGTGCTGCGAGATGTTCCAGCAGAGAGGCCTAAAAAAGCTGAGAGCCTAGAGGAGGAATACAGCAGCCAGGGGGCTGCCAGGAGAAGGTGCCTATGGTGCATGGGGGGCATCGGAGCAGGACCTTGGAGAAGGAAGAGCCTGAGTCCACCCAGCTGGGGTTGGATGGGGTGAGGAGGTCCTGCTGGGACAAGATAGCTAAGGGGCACAGTCGCAAGCCCTGTGTGAAGGAGTGCCTGTGCAGATCCCAGATGGAGCTGGTGGCCTCAGGTCCTGCCCTGTCATGAGGTCTGGGGTCAAGGATCAGATGCTGGGCCCCAGCACATGTCCGGTGACATCTGAGCAGCACCATGGGCCTCTGGAGTCATAGTGTAGTGTCAGTCTTGCCCAAGTCCTTGCGTAGACCTGGCACTGACCTGCCTGGTGAGACCTTCCTCTGTCCTGAGCTAATCTTGGATCATGGCCATGGCTCCAGGCTGGGTGACACACCACCCTGGGAACCTCCTGCCTGCTGTGATCAGGGGTCCATGCTCTGCAAGGGACAGCAGCCTCGCCTTGGCTCAGCCCCTGCCCTGGCCTCCTTGCCTGCAGCCCCAAGGCCTTGCCCCTCTCGGGACCACCCCCTCCCACTTGGGGAGCAGCACCACTTCCACAGCCCAAGCCCAAATCCTAGGGCTTTCCCTGGACTTTGGTCCTGTCCCTGGCTCTGTCTCCTGCCCTCCCCCAGGCTCACTGCCCCTTCCACTCCAGTCTAACCAATGCATCTGGGCCTCCACATGTGCTCTTCCCTGTGTCTGCAACGCTTGTCCCTTCCTTTGCGCAGCTCCCTCTCAGACCCCAGGGAGTTGTCCCAAATGCCCGGATGCCTTTCCTCCAGCTAAGGGCGTTCCTGTCAGGCCCTATGCCACATGTGTCACATGGTCTGCTTACTGCTGGCCCCCGCAGGCAGGACCCCCTTTATATAGATCTGCTTGCCTGGTGCAGAAAGAGGGAGGGTGCTGACAGCCTGGGCATGGGGCTGGCTGACAGGTCCAGGAGGTGCGGGCAGCTCTCAGAAAGCCAGGGAGAGGAGTCTGCTTTGTTCCAGAACAAGAAGGTATCGCTCGCTCGTCCTGTGTTCACGTAACTGGAAGGGAGCTGTTGCAACTGGAGGGAGTTTCCTCAGGCTGGAAGCCCATTGGGAGCTCTGGAGTCACTGACGACAGCAAACGCAGGGCAGATAACCTCTGTGTCCCCGGAGGCCCGGACACAGGGGCTACCTGGCTGGGTGGTCTGGACAGTTCCAAGCTCAATGCTGCTGGAGCAGCACTTCATAGCTCTGTGGAAAGCATTGGCCAGAGAGCCGAGAGCATTGGCCAGCTCGGCCACCCACCTTGCCAGGGCCCTGGGATGGGTCTGGGTCAGCAGCTCTGGGGCTGGGGTATGAAGACCCGATCCAGGGTCTGGGGGCTGGCCCTGACTCACCCTCCCTGCATAACGTGGACCCTGTGGGGTGTCTTAGTTCTCCAGATGGAGTCACTGGCGCAACCAGCCGGGCTGCTGTCTGCCACGCCATGCCACAGAGTCTTTTTTTGAAATTTAACTCGGTCTTTTTATTTGCTATAAAACCATGAAAACAATTCCTTTGGCCCATGGTCTGGGGCATGTCTTATCAAGCCTGTCCCCCTGCCCTTGGGTGCTCTGGGAAGACAGCGACGTCATTTGCTAGTCACGCAGATGACTCTTACCACTCTGCCAGCTGCCTGCTCCTGCTGGGCAGCTCCGTGGTGCTCTGTGTTAAATCTGCAGTTGATGTAGCCTGTCATGACGCCCAGGCCAGAGCTGGCCGTCAGAAGCCAAAAGGCTCCCCGTTTCACAGACAGCCGACCAGCTCCCCAAGAAGGGAGGGATTGGCCTGAACCCCTTAGCCGCAGCTGGAGCAGCTGGACAGCCCGGCTGCCAGGCCAGCTGTACGAAATGCAGCTTTGCTTCAGGGCGTGCCCGGGCCCCAGATGCCCCATCCAGGTCACAGTCTGAGTGGCAGGAATTGGTTTCTGCTGAGTGGCAGTAGTTGGTACAGCCACGGTGGTAGTGACCTGTGTGTGTGCTGTGATTCCCAGGGCCTCCTCAGAGGCTCTGTTCCTGCTCCCACTTGAGGGTCCCTGGGTGCTGTGTTCTTGCATAAAGTGGCAGTTGTGACTAACCAGAGAGGGTCACTCTCAGAGTCTGTCCCACTGAGCAGCTCCTGAAGAGATACCGTGTCCCTGGGTGTTTATTTTGGCATGCAGGGAGAGGGGCCAGAGGCCAATGTTGTGACCCTGCTCATTAAACAGCTACCCCTTCCTCTGCTGAGCTTGATGCCGCTTCCTCGCTGGGTGCAGGTGCCCAGGGTGTGAAGGGCCTGAGTGGAAAATGCTCACCATGGGCATGAAGCCTGGCAGGAGGGCCTGCAGCACAAGGCCAGACGTCCAGCCCAAGGCAGGCAGGACTGCAGGGGCTCTTATCTGTGAAGTGGGGTAAAGTCCTAAGCCTGGGTCACAGGATGGATGTCAGAGGCTAGTGGGACACTGGCTCACCTGCTTTATCAAGATAATGATGATGGCGGCTAAGAAACGTGGTGGCAGCTGTTTCTCATGCACCCTGTCTGCCCCAGACCCTGAGAGGGCAGCAGAGAGCAGGGAGACCCAGCCCCTGCCACAAGATGCTGACAGTCACAACAAATGACTGATCGGTCAGAACAGCACATATGCTGCTTAGGAATAGAGCAGCCATGGCGGCAGTGACCTGTGTATGTGTCGTGACTCCCGCGGCCTCCTGAGAGGCTCTGTCCCTGCTCCCATTTGAGGGTCCCTGGGTGCTATGTTCTATGTTGTGACCCTGCTCATTAAACAGCTACCCCTTCCTCTGCTGAGCTTGATGCCGCTTCCTTGCTGGGTGCAGGTGCCCAGGGTGTGAAGGGCCTGAGTGGAAAATGCTCACCCATGCATGTGAAGCCTGGCAGGAGGGCCTGCCAGCACAAGGCCAGGCGTCCAGCCCGAGGCA